GAGTTTGCTCATGATCCTGATGAATCTGATATCTGTAGGCAGACTCATTTACACTTTCTGGTCCCAAATGTCAGAGTAATGGGTTTCCTGCATGTTAGAAATAACAGGTAAAGATCTCTGAGCTTTCCAGACATGTCAGTGAGACGTTCACGGCTCACCTTTGTGTCTTACAGTCTTTTCAGACTGAGACCAGGTCAACATTCAGACTGTACGTTCACTCAGCGCCGAGCAGCTGCACTAATGGCCTCAGGTTTCCCCCAGAAACAGGCCGACACATTCCAGACGCATCAATGGGACTCGTTGTTGTGATGGAGAGAGAGGCCGGCAGTGGCCAGATTTGGAAGGACTGTTGCCATGGAGACCGCGCAGAGGAAGGGAGGGAGAAGTGAAGAGGGAGTGGAGGGCAAAAGCAGCTGTAGACAGTCAGCTGATGGCCTTTGGGTAAATCCTTTCAAACATGATTTGCCTGCTTCTTCATTTATTTATTTATTTATTTCGCTCTCAGCCGCCGAGTGAAAGAGCCTCATGAATCACAAATTTAGCCGCCATTTTGTTTTTTCACAGAGACGATGAGAGAGGGGGAAAGCTGCAAAATCACCAACATCATATCTGCATTATTTTTTTTTTCAAGCAAATAAAAAATCCGTCATAAGCACTTGAACAAAAGATTCATGAATAAGTCAAGAAGGAAGACTGCACTTCCTCCACTCGTCTTTGACTCCATGCTAATAAACCCAGTGTGTGTCGCCATGTGAGTCACATGTTGCATGCGTTTTAACGTGCCGTCTCTGTCCAACAGGCCGATGTCTGTTTGGCTGAATTGGAGCAGTTTAAACAGATAATGCAGCCCAGCACGTCAAAGAGGACAATGTGATCTTTTCTGCTCCGGAAGAGAGTGTGTAACTTTATCTGCAGCTTAAATGGAGCGAGACAAAGAGTCAGGAGATCAGCCAGTATCCCTGCTACCAATATCCTGCAGGAGACAACAGAGGGTGTGTGAGTCCTCGCTCGGTTACAGTTTTCATTCAAGTCATGGATGATATTTTACATCATGTGATCCGACGTCTGTGGAAGCACTTTTCAGCCTGTAGTAAAAATCTTTGATGATGGAAAAACGCTCATGTTCAGTTATTATGATTAAATTATCGTCATATTTAGGAGGAGAGCCGTAATTAGGCAAACGATTACACTTTTTTCAGAGCAGTAATGAACAAACTCATAAAGACGGGTCTGTAAATTTTCAAGTATACCAAAATTTTGACTTTTTAACTAAAAACAACAAACTTTGAGCACAATATATTAACTTTTTAAATTTCATTACAACTTTTTTACTTTTTCTCTCAATATTTCAACATGTTTTCGCTGTTTTGTGAGTCGGTGTCTCTTCACTTTGACTGTTTCTGTTCCTCTCATGGATGTCCCTCCTGTTTCTGAACTTTATGACTCTCTATCTCGTCATTGACTCTCTGTTGTTTTTAAGTTGTTTTAAACTCATAGTTTTAATTCTTTTAAACTTAAAAGTCTCATATTTGGGACTTTTTATCTATAATTCTGACTTTGGCCCACAGAGATAACCTTTAAGTCTCTTTTCTCATACTTTTATATTTTTTCAGCTCTGACTATTTCCTCTCATAGTTTCTCTTTGGCCCTTTAACTAAGTCCTAATATCACATATTTTCATCTTTAATAGTAAAGGAATTACTTTTTTTGTTTTTTTTAAGGTTAATTATTTTCGTTACTGGGCAAAACAGGTTTCTTCAGACCTCTCTGACCTTATTTTCGGTGCTGTAATAACCCTCCAGCTGAGATAAAATGCTGACTTCTGCCGTGTGCTCCTTCAGCTCCGTCACAGTTGGTGGTGTTTACTCTAAACAAAGCTGGGAAATCTTGCTGAGCTTGTTTTAACGTCAGGGAGGGAGTCGGCTCGAGTCGTTTGCTCACACCAGGTGGAACTCAGGTCAGTTAGAGTGAAACCTATATGATCCTCTATCGGCTCTGTCTGCTGTATAAACAGCCTGGGGTACAGGTGTGACTGAGCAGCTTCAGGATTAGGGTTTGAAATGTTAAAGCACCTGGGATAGAAATTCTTATCAGCCTTCTCAGTGCGTCATTTGGCCTTTTATTTCCAGAACATAAACGCCTAAAAATATCTGGAACAAGTCATAATGCAGATTCATAATTTAGGGCCTGTGTCCATGCAGATTCATAATTTAGGGCCTGTGTCCATGCAGATTCATAATTTAGGGCCTGTGTCCACTGATGGCAGAACCTACTTTCTACCCTATAACAGAGACAGTTCAGGGCTCAGCGTCAGCCTGTATCTGTGTGGATGAACTCTCTGCACTCCGATTCAAAGATAGTTCCACCTTTTCAAGCATAAACACTCTTGTTAAGCCACCTCCTCCTCACAGACCAATCAAAACTGAGAAGGGGCGTGGCCCAGCATATCGACTTTGTCAGTAAAGGTGGAAGAGGAAGTATTCCTGAACTGTCGTGTGAGCTGTTTATGAGCTTGCTTTTCTGGCATGTATTACTGTTTACCTTCCCTCAGGTGTATGCAGATGATTAATAAACAAGTTCACAGGTGTGTTCAGGTTCGGCAACTTTGACAGGTCTTAAAATAAAATAAATCTTATAGCTAAAAATTCAACTTAATTCATGATGTTATTTTCACTGGTGGTGCAAATTCTTAATAGCAGATACTAATTGTTGGCAATTTAGAAATGAAACCAAATTTATTTTATAAGACCTGTTATTGAGTTCATGGTGCGTCACTACCACTCTGCATATTTTACATATGGAGTATGTCATTTAAAGCTCATGTTTAACAAGAGATTATAGTATCCAAAGTTCACCTTTTGTTGACGACATGATGGTCTGAATTTCCTGCCTCTCTTTAGACATAGATTAGCGACAACAATAGTCAGTTTGCTAAGATGAGTGGTGCGTCCAGCAGCAGGTTTACTGAGTTTAAACTGTAAAAAATAAAGCCGAAAAATCAATTTTTAGTGGTTTTAAATAAATTTGAAGTTGTAGGAATAAGCTGCTATGAATAAATGCGAATCAGTTTTTCCTCCTATCCCTAGTTGTCGCTGCTCTTTATGCTTGTTAACAGAGGATTAATGCTAGGCCTCTCTAAATAATGTAGCTAACAGTACCGTCCTGACCTGCTCTTTATATCTAATGCCATGAATTAACTTTTATTATGTTTTCCTGCTTCAACATAAAAAACTGATTGATTGATTGAAATAATCCCATAAACCTTAAGTAAGACAGTTAAACTCAATGACAGCATTAAAAGATTAAGGTGTGTTTGTGTGTGTGTGAGTGTGTGTTTGTGTGCATGATGGCGTTTGTTTGCCCTGCAGCTAATCCGGCTCGCCTTACCTCGCTCTACCAGTAATCGTGGGAAAGAATGCGGCTCTTCTACTGTACTTGTTGTCTTTGTGTCGGAGGTGTGGCCGGGTCATTATTCAAGAGCTGCCACTGCTTCTCATGACAGCCATGCCTCCCAGGTGTCACCTTTCCAGATCAGTGTGTTGATACTGTAATGGGGAAATACTGCAAACAAACTAGAGCTTCAGTGACCTCATTTGCCTCGGGAGGTTCACAGCAATCAGCCGTGGTTTCACTTTACATTCATCACTGTGCTCTGAAACCATAATAAGTTCAGTCTGAGAGAAGAACTTTGCAAAAACAAAAATTCTGATATAAAGCAGATCTTTTAAAAAAAATGTAGTTTTAGAGGCGATCCTTGCAAAATAGCTAATAATAAAGTAGTTCAACTTTAGATCTTTACAGGAGAAGAGCTGATTTTTGCAAAAGAGGCTTCAAAAACTGCGGTTTTAGGGGCGATTTCGCCAAAAGAGCTGAGCTAAGACAAGGTTTTTGTGGGAGAGGCTTAAAGATAAGGATTCAGGACAAAATTTTGCAAGACAAGCTTAAATTAGTGCTTTTTAGAGGAGATCATTGCAGGAGATGCTGAGGGTTAAAGAGCTTGGACTGGATCAGCCTGAAAACAAAATCAAACACAGATTACTACGTCTTCTTTCAGGTGTTATATCTGCTTTTATACTTTCAATGGACTTTGATTTGGACAGTTGCCACTGCTCTGACCAAACACTTCTATTTGTTTGGTGTTTGCGCCTCATTTTCAGCACTGTACTGATACTATACTATACACTATACTTAGCGCTGTAAGTGTATATACTTACTTAGCCCATTTTTTTCTGTATACAAATATTTTTTTTCTGTTTTGGTAGTCTGTACCAAGTTTTTTGACTCAGGTGCCGAACTGACCGTTACGACCCCACTTCAATAAAACGCCTGACTATCCCTTTAACTCTCTTCGGTTATTTGACTCCATAATTCAAATAGCTTTTGTCGTACGCACACGTTGTTTCTCCGCTCGCTCCTTTGTGCACATCAGCAAAAGGCCTGGATGAAGAAATGCTGACCACTGGGCCGAGGTTTGGAAGAGCTGCACCACATTTGGGTCCATTTAAAGCGATGTTTCCCAGCCGTCAGCAGCTGCTTTCCATCTAGTGGCATTTTCCTCATCTACCCCCCCACGACACCCCCTTTCTCTCCCCCCTCCACCGCCGTCCCCTCTTTCTTCACGTCAAACTTGGCAGGCGAGTTTACACTGTGATTTTCAAAGCCGCCCTGTTCTCTGTCAAATGTTGCGTGGCAACATCAAACGCTCTGCCGGACAGAGCCTTCCTGGGATTCCAGCGTGGTGGGCGGATAATTGGAGGCAGGCCTCAGCGGATCTGGCAGATGTGTGATGAGTTTTTACTGGAGCGTTGTTTTTTGGTGTGTGTGTGTGTGCATGTGTGTGGGGGGGTGAGAGACAAGTTTTAGAGGGAAAACATAAGAGCTTTCTTTGTTGTCGTCCTCGGCTCTCTCCCTAAAGCTGGCCACAGGGGCGTCTTATTGGCCCAGTGGCCAAGTCAGGGCTGAGTGTGGCGGTAAACATTGCATACAGACACGATATCTGAACCCCGCATGTGGAATTTGATGTCTTAGGTCTGACTCACAAAGCTTTTAAGCCTCCAAACATTTCCACATGTCCTGTCCTTCTTTTCCTCCCTTTGACTTTTTTCTGGAAGCTGCCTGTTTTCTGCGACTTTTGCAAGAACCACCCAGATAATTACTGAGCACTTCTGTCTGGGGTCTGACCACAAGTTTGGATCAAGGTCACTGCAGTTGCTGTCAAACATATAGGGATTACAAAGACGCTCAAGAATTCCCCCGCATCTCCCTCCGCCCGCTCGTCCCACTGTAAAAGCAGGAATGCCGGACCTGGATTCTTAGTTTTCCTGTCCATCCATCATTGAGCAAGCATAACAGGGACACAGCAGCCCCTCCCCACCCAGAGGTGGGCTTCCTCTGAAAGTGCAAGAGGCCAGAGCTCAGCGGAGGGCTGCAGAGAGGGAAAAGAGGCTGAGAGAGGAGGGGGGGAATTGTTAGACAGAGAGGAAAATGGACAAAGAAAAAAACGTCCTGCAGACAGAGGTCCAAAAAAGAAACGCCAATGAAACACAGGCCTTCCATGTTTTGGTTTAGTCCCCTGGGCTCATGCAGACAGTATTAAGTTTAATTTTTTCTTTGACACAGGAAGGCGGTGCAGATGTTCCTGAGAGCAGGCTTGCGGTTTCCCTGTTTTCTTTCTGCTTGTCTGTTCCCGACTCTCCAGCGTTGCCAAGGCGCTCCCTCACTTGGCGCTGGCGTTTTTGTTTTTCCTGAGAGTGGGGCTCCAACAGGAGGGTCATCTCCAGGCCAGCTCCAAATGAGAAATAGTTGGCCGGCTGCCCTGGCGGCCGCTCAAATCCGCCCTTTTGAAAAGATTACTGTGCTGCTGCTGCCGCCGCCTCCTGTGGGGCATGCCAGATCTGCTGAGGGGAGAGGAATGTGCAGGAGGGCTGGAGGAGGGAGGGAGAGGGGGGCACCGGGGGGCCACATTTCATTCGACCTCTTTCAGAAAGTTTTTCTCATTACTTTTCTTCTCTCTCCTCCTCAAATGTTTCAATCTGAGCAGCAGAGAACAGGACGTGGACTGTTCCCAAATAAAACCTGACAGGGTTTTTCCACCCAGCCAAGAGCCATGTGACACAGTCCAGCTCAGCCCCCCCCTTCCCCCTCCTCTGGTCGTCTTTTGGCTTCTTGTTTTTGTTTCTTAGGGACCAGTGATGAATGATCGATTGATAGCGGTAAGGCCCACTGTGGGACTGCTGCAGGCTATCTCTGCTAAGCTGCTTTGCCTGATAGGCTGCTGACTGTGGAGACTCCAAAGCTGGAGCAATAAAAGCTGATTTGCGGGGGCACAGTGAGAAGCCCCAGACACTTAAGCGAGGTGTGCATGTCTCCTCTGGCCTGTCACAATCAATACTGCCCCACCACCACCACCGCAGGGTCTCTCTGTCTCCACCATGTTTACTCTTAAATAATGCATCACACTCTCACACAAATACCTTCCATTCACACCGGGGATGGGGACCATTAGCCGTGGCCCTGTGTAACAATGAAATGCAGCCTCTGCATCCTCTTATACAAGCAGCAGACAGACAGACAGACAGAGCGTTTTCCTTCTCCTCCTCCTCCTGAGTGCTTCTGCGAGGCATCATTTTAGTGCTGCCTGACCTAATTTAACAAGCTCAACATACAATCTTTTCAGGCTCTGATTACACACTCGCCTGGTTTCAGCTCGGATTAACCTCCGAAAAAAAAAGAAAAAAACTTGAGGACAATTAGTGCAACAGTGAAAATAAAAAGGCTGATCTTGAGCCAAGTCTGAACCTGACATATTTCAACCTTCTTATCTGCACGGCCTGAGGGAGCGTGTGCTCGCATGTTGTTTTTATAACTTCATAAGAGCGGGACGCTGCCTACAGTGATGAATAAAACAGACTCTGATGGTTTGAACATGAAGATAACATGAGGACAACATATAAAGTGAGGAAACTAGGAGTGTTCTGATACAATATTAATATTGGATATCGTTTAACTCGATTAATAAAATTCCTCGAGGCAAATTATATGCCTCGAGGAATCGTTTAAATCCGGAACCATGTGCAGCGCACGGTGTTTGACACGGACGGTTATTTCTGTTGCGCAGAAGCGTGCTCTTTCCGCTCCTTCCGCTGCCGCGCGTTTGGTTCAATCATGGAGGGAAACGAGGACAGACAGAAGCTGTGTCCGAAATGGCATACTGCCTGCTATCTACTTACCTACTCAAGCAGTAGCTACTGCCTACTGACTACTCAAAGATGATTTGAGTATGCCGCGGCTGCCCGAGCGTTTACACACATACATACTAAATACCCCAGAATGCATTTCGTGCCGGCCGGACGCAGCGCCGGGAAAATTTAAATAGTCCTACCACAAGCTACATAGAACGACTGCATACCGGACAAATTATATAAATTCATTCAATAATAATATTTTTTCTAGCGAGAAAGTAAGTGTTTACATCACGATTATGAGCCCAGTTGTTTGAAATAGTGGCTGTTTGTAAATTTGTCTCGGCGTTTTCGGAGACCGAAGCGTCCGCTTGGTCGGTGTTTGCGTCTATTTACCGTAAACACCGGGCAGCAGCAGCTCCCCCTTCACGTTTCCAAATTATTGCGAAGTGTTTTCATAATCAACATCTACACGACACAAACCGGGCGGCAGTGGATGAAAAAAATCACACAAACATCCGTGTATCCATGGTGATAATGCTATACACCACCTGCTAGGCGTGTGATGAGCAGCAGAGGGCTGCAAAATGACCAACACACAACAACATGTAAATAAAAATGTAACACTTTTATATATTGAATAAATGTACATTTGCTTGTCAAATTATGTTAGTATCCAAGAATTATATTATTTCAGCCTATTAATTAAACAAGTAAAATTAGATCCAAAGCCTGGAAATAGTTGTGACTGGTTTAGTGAAAACTGCAAAGATCATTACCATAGCAATTAAAAGACCATCTGCAGACCTTGCCTTCAGTAGTTTCATGTGAACTACATGGTAAAATGTAAAACTTTTGGTTCCTGATTTATGCAGTAAAAATATTCATTTGAAAGACCTGTCCTATTTCAGTTTTGTGTGTTACTGATGGTTTTTAATGAGGCAAACGTGATTCAATGCAAAGTATTACAGTGAGAGCAAAACATTTCTTATCCGATTACTCGATTAATCGACAGATTAATCGATAGAGTACTCGATTACTAAAATAATCGATAGCTGCAGCCCTAGTTCTGATACAATATTAATATTGGATATCCAATATCAGCAAAAAAAATAAAGATCAGATTATATCAGCCTGCATCTAAAATCTCCGATATCAGCACTCCGATACAAGCAGTCCATTCCTGACTCCGCTCCAGCACCCAGATCCAGCGTGTAGAGACCATATAATCACAACAACAGTGTGTACTAAGGTACTAACAAAGTAGCGAGGAGTAGGAGTGATGTCGGCCGTGTGGCAGTATTTTTCGTTTAAGTCCGAAAAAGACGTTGCAGCTGAGTGCAAAACTTGTCATGCAGAAGTTTGTGCCAATATCAGATCAATATTGGTATCGGCCGATTCTGAAGAGGAGGTAAAAAAAAAAAGAAAGTTGTACCGGGACATCCCTAGTGGAACCTAAACATTTTCATCGTTTCGTGTTGAATATATTCTCATTTTGGATTTAAAGACGGCAGCATGCTTCAGAGAAGTTGAGAGAGGGTTGTCTGATGCTGAAAATAATTAACCTGGAGGACAACCTCGTCTTTTTGGGAACACCCGAATTGTTATCAGTGACAAAAGTCGGCATCCAGAGTGGGAAATGGATGCATCTGTAAAGGCTCCATCAATACTGAACAATATCTCCAGGTTTAGGAGCAACAGAGTCCTGGTGCTAAACTGGCACCAGAATTTGGACGACATCTTACTTTCAAAACTCGAGAAAACGTCTCCTCTGAGTCCGAACATTTACAGGAGGAGATTCAGCTTCATGGTGATTTTGCCGAGCAGCTGTGAGCACATGTTTATCATAAAACAGTAAAAAGCGTGTGTTAACAGGATGTAAACTACATGTAACACTCCGGCTCGATGATTTATGATGGTGTGTACTTTTCTCGATGATCAGGTTACCAGAGACTTTGATAAATGCTGAGTAATTACATCAGCGCTGCACTATGAGAATGCTGCAGCCTCCTCAGGGATCATTAACTGCTGACGGATACAGAGTGATGAGGCCTTGTTGGGTGGTCCTTATCTGAGAGTCAGGAAACAGGGCTAGACTCATAAACACTCCTCTCACCGCAGACGCAGCAACCGTGTTTGGAGACCACACCCTAAGTCACTGTAAACCCTGAAAGTGCCCGAAATTCAAGAACAAAAGAGGCCGACGCTTTGCCGAATTCTCCGACTCTCCCAGTGCTTGTGGGCGCAACCACGGCGAGAGAAAACCAGCAACAACGACAACAACAACAACAACAACAACCCAGCCTGGTTTAATTTGCAAGACCGGTCTGTTCCAGTAAACATCACCGCACATGCAGGCGGAGACGGAGCGTTGCTATCACTGCGTCTGCTCCACGCTGACACCATAAGAATAGCAGTGTGTGTTCCTGAGTCACATCATCTGCTTAGCAACACGCACGCCAGGGAGAGCGGGACAGAGCGATGTGATTGGGGGAGACCAGGACCCTCAGGACACTGAGCGCTAATTGCGAAGCTGTTTTTCTCCTCCATTTTTAACAGATGCAATACGCCAGCCGCAGAAGAAGAAGAAAAAAAAACGGGGGTTGCATAACATGATTTTACAGCAGATACCCCTCCTCCTCTGTGGCTCGCCCTCCATTTCCATCCTTTTATGCACTCCCCCCACCCTCTTCCTAGCAACTCCATCCCTTCCTCTCCATCATCTTGTAACAGCTGGAGCCAAGCCAAATCTTCTGAAAGCCATTTTGAAGAGACAAAAAGAACAAAGACGCCACATTTTTGGACATATTTTCTCGAACCTGTGCGGGAAACGCACGCTCAAATCGAACAAATCCTCTCTTAATTGGTTTGCAGAAGTGATGTTGACCCGGCTCGGGGGTCTTTGGCGGTCGTGACAAAGAGCTCAGTGTGTCCAGCTTTTTGGGCTGCAGAGCTGGAAGAGCAGTTTCCATATTGGGACAATATGCACCGTGACCTCTGACCCTGCTCAGAGGCGGCGGCTCGAGAGCACTCAGAGATTTGCTATCCAGAAACACAAAGCATTCCAGGCTCACACAAACAAGAGAGGCAGAAAACATGTTGGCACAAGTCGGCGGCGCACACATGCACACCAACTGTTACTTCTCGTTCGTCAACCCTCTGGGCCAGAAATTACACATGCAAGCGTTTTTCTGTCTGACGGGGGCAGGGCAGACTTGGCCGGGGGAGCTGGGAATATTTGCAACACATACACACACGGGCTGATGATCTCACTGCGTAAGGGAAGGCGAACATGAAGTATTTGTTGCCACAGGGCCAAAAGAGAGAGTGTGTGTGTTTGTGTGAGTGGATGTGTGGGGGGATTTGTTGTGCTGTGTGGGAGATGGGAGTGGGAATGAGGCAGAGCTGTTGTGTGACTTTTTGTCCAGCGTAGTTTCCACATCGGCCCCAGAGAAAACAAAGAAGAATTACGCAATGCAAATGTTACTCAACCCTGATTACAGCCTTTCATGTGAACACCAGGAAGGATTGTACTGTTGCCAGGGTGTGTGTGTGTGTGTGTGTTTGTGTGTCTGTCTCAGTGTGTGATGAATATACAAAATTAAAAAAGGACATCTGCTTGTGCACGGAGAGCGTCTCAATCTCCTCCTCCTGTGTTTGCACTTTCACTTTGTGCATGCATGCATGTTCATATGTGAGGGTGCACACACTCTGCATGTTCGGCTGACTACATCTGCCACACACGCTCACCCTCAGAGTGATGTCCAATGTGCTGAGCATGTTCTGATGTTGTGTGCTCGGATGCTCAGGGTGAGCGGAGGATAGTCCAGAAATAGAAACGTTTCATGAAAACATCAGAATGGAGAGTCATTTCACTGTAAAAGTTCGTTTCATAACCGCCCTGGAGGAACTAAGGCTTGTCTGTTCCGTTTGAGCTCCACTCTTGCCCTAATTCACTTCTGCAACTGGAACGTATTTAACCCCGTGTCAGCCCTGCCTGCCCTCGCTCTCTTATCTCAGCCTCTCCTCCTGTCAGGTCATGTTTGCAACCAAAGAGTTGAGTGCATTTCTTTTTTGTCTGGGGAAGTGCTGTTAACATCAGCGCCGCGATGATGACTGTGTTACACTATGTGAGGCGGCAATCATCTTCCCTCCGAATGCACGTCAGGCGAGGGAGCGCAGCCATGAGTAAACAAGGTGTGGCTCTGTTGGGAGGAAAACTCATTTCCCTGACCAATCAGTGTCTGAGTCATCTTGTTCTTGAGGATTCTCCCAGGATTTGTGCACGGCTCTGACAGCAGCAGCACAGTCCCAGAGCCTTTTCTGGCAGCGTGCTCTGAAATAGATTTGTCAGGGCTCAGGGCAAAACAGCGAATGTTTATATAAGTGGTCAGAAATAGGGGGGAAATGATGTCATATTGGACATTACTCTTGAGTTCGCCAACTTTCTCAGCACATCACCGAGTAATGATTCAACGCA